TCTACCGAGCAGGAAAAGACCCAACACTTGGACAAAATAACTCCATTTGGCAAAGTTAGGTCATGGCATTTTCGCTCTATGAGGCCTATAGGAAACATGCATTTTTGCTGTAATCGTTTTCTCTTTTGCTTTTGTGTGTTTTTCCAAGTGCTGACGGTCTACCGAGCAGGAAAAGACCCAACACTTGGGCAAAATAACTCCATTTGGCAAAGTTAGGTCATGGCATTTTCGCTCTATGAGGCCTATAGGAAAAATGCATTTTTATTGTAATCGTTTTTCCTTTGCTTTGGTGTGTTTTTCCAAGTACTGACGGCCTACCGAGTAGGAAAACACCCAACACTTGGGCAATATAACTCCATTTGGCAAAGTTAGGTCATGGCATTTTCGCTCTATGAGGTCTATTGGAAACATGCATTTTTGCTGTTATTGTTTTTCCTTTGCTTTGGTGTGTTTTTCCAAGTGCTGACGGTCTACCGAGCAGGAAAAGACACAACACTTGGGCAAAATAACTCCATTTGACAAAGTTAGGTCTTTTAGGATACATGCATTTTTGCTGTAATCGTTTTTCCTTTGCTTTGGTGTGTTTTTCCAAGTGCTGACGGTCTACCGAGCAGGAAAAGACCCAACACTTGGACAAAATAACTCCATTTGGCAAAGTTAGGTCATGGCATTTTCTCTCTATGAGGCCTATAGGACACATGCATTTTTGCTGTAATGGTTTTTCCTTTGCCTTGGTGTGTTTTTCCAAGTGCCGACGGTCTACCGAGCAGGAAAAGACCCAAAACTTGGACAAAATAACTCCATTTGGCAAAGTTAGGTCATGGCATTTTCGCTCTAGGAAGCCTATAGGAAACATGCATTTTTGCTGTAATCGTTTTTCCTTTGCTTTGGTGTGTTTTCCAAGTGCTGGCCGTCTACCGAGCAGGAAAAGACCCAACACTTGGGCAAAATAACTCCATTTGGCAAAGTTAGGTCATGACATTTTCGCTTTATGAGGCCTATAGGAAACATGCATTTTTGCTGTAATCTTTTTTCCTTTGCTTTGGTGTGTTTTCCAAGTGCTGACGGTCTACCGAGCAGGAAAAGACCAAACACTTGGGCAAAATAACTCCATTTGGCAAAGTTAGGTCATGGCATTTTCGCTCTATGAGGCCTATACGAAACATACATTTTTGATGTAATCGTTTTTCCTTTGCTTTGGTGTGTTTTTCCAAGTGCTGACGGTCTACCGAGCAGGAAAAGACCGAACACTTGGCAAAATAACTCCATTTGGCAAAGTTAGGTCATGGCATTTACGCTCTATGAGGCATATAGGTAACATGCATTTTTGCTGTAATCGTTTTTCCTTTGCTTTGGTGTGTTTTCCAAGTGCTGACCGTTTACTGAGCAGGAATAGACCCAACACTTGGGCAAAATAACTCCATTTGGCAAAGTTAGGCCATGGCATTTTCGCTCTATGAGGCCTATAGGAAACATTCATTTTTGCTGTAATCGTTTTTCCTTTGCTTTGGTGTGTTTTTCCAAGTGCTGACGGTCTACCGAGCAGGAAAAGACCCAACACTTGGGCAAAATAACTCCATTTGGCAAAGTTAGGCCATGGCATTTTCGATCTATGAAGCCTATAGGAAGCATGCATTTTTGATGTAATCGTTTTTCCTTTGCTTTGGTGTGTTTTTCCAAGTGCTGACGGTCTATCGAGAAGGAAAAGACCCAACATTTGGGCAAAAAAACTCCATTTGGCAAAGTTAGGTCTTGGCATTTTCGCTCTATGTGGACTATAGGAAACTTGCAATTTTGCTGTAATCGTCTTTCGTTGGCTTTGGCGTGTTTTTCCAAGTGCCGAGTTGGAAAAGGCTAAACACTTGATCAAAATAACTCCGTTGCATTTTAAAAAATTCACCTTGGATCATTATCAATAACTTTACATTTTAATATTTTATATAATATTTTAATACCCCCTTTTCGTAATTAAAATAAGAAAATAAACACACCAAACGTATTTTATAATGTATTATTTAGTAATTGGCTCGATGTATACATGTATACAAAATGTATTGACGGTTTTATTGAAATTAAAAACCAAATAATCTGGAATAATATTCATATACTGATTAACAATTCTCCGGCTTTTAATTGGGAACTAAATAATAAGGGATTAATGTTTGTAAGCAATGTACTTGCATATCAATCTGATCAAAAGAATTTCATATTATTAAAACAGTTTGAAATCGATAGTAAAGTCTTTAATACCAAATACATATTTGCAAGTAGGCCAGGTGGATAATAATAGGATAAACAATTTAAATCAAATTAATATAATTTTGAAAAGTACCTATTCAAAAGATATAGCTACTATCTCTCAGGAACATTTACAATAGACAGATGGAATCAAAGTATTTTAAGAAATGGGACAATTATCTCAATTGTTGATTTGATGACGACGATGAAATTAAAGATAGCTTGCCAGGCAAGGTAACATACGCCCACTGGCAGCTGTCAGAAATGATTAAACAGTCTTTAGTGACTACAGGGTTGCACAATATAGCTAATAGAGTGAAGCGTCAAGTCAGACACGATATTTCGGTGAAATATTATCCGATCATCGCGAAAATCGATAGGGATCATCTTCATAATGACATTGACATACAAAATAAAAATCAAAAGAATCTGTAAACAATTGTAGCCTGTAGAATGAGCACGAGTTGCACAATATAGCTAATAGAGTAAAACGTCAGGTCCGACACGATATTTCGGTGAAAAATTATCCGATCATCATGAAAATCGATAGATCATCATGAAAATCAATAGGGATCATCTTCATAACGACATAGACATACAAAATAAAAATCAAAAGAATCTGTAAAGAATTGTAGCCTGTAGAGTAAGCACGAGTTGCACAATATAGCTAATAGAGTAAAACGTCAAGTCAAACACGATATTTCGGTGAAAAATTATCCGATCATCACGAAAATCAATAGGGATCATCTTCATAATGACATTGACACACAAAATAAAAATCAAAAGAATCTGTAAAAAATTGTAGCCTGTAGAGTGAGCACGAGTTGCACAATATAGCTAATAGAGAAAAACGTCAAGTCAGACACGATATTTCGGTGAAAAATTATCCGATCATCACGAAAATCCATAGGGATCATCTTCATAATGACATTGACACACAAAATAAAAATCAAAAGAATCTGTAAAAAAAATTGTAGCCTGTAGAGTGAGCAAGTTGCACAATATAGCTAATAGAGAAAAACGTCAAGTCAGACACGATATTTCGGTGAAAAATTATCCGATCATCACGAAAATACATAGGGATCATCTTCATAATGACATTGACACACAAAATAAAAATCAAAAGATTCTGTAAAAAATTGTAGCCTGTAAGAGTGAGCACGATTTGCACAATATAGCTAATAGAGAAAAACGTCAAGTCAGACACGATATTTCGGTGAAAAATTATCCGATCATCACGAAAATCAATAGGGATCATCTTCATAACAACATTGACATACAAAATAAAAATCAAAAGAATCCATAAAGAACTGTAGCCTGTAGAGTGAGCACGAGCCAAATGTGAACGGACGGGCGGGGTGATTACAATATACGCCCATCTTACGTGTGGGCGTATAAAAATATATTCAAACTTATAAAGATAGTTAGGAATAATATCAGATATCAATGTTTTCAATATAAATATGTTGATAATATCATATTTACTAACACAAAACTACTTAAAATATCTAAGAAGGAAAGCTCCTTATGCACTTTTTGCTCCTCGCATGTTGAAAGCATTGATCATCTATTTATATCTTGTTTTTATACCCAAAAAATTTGGAATTTAGCCATATCACATCTAAAAGCTTTAGACATTGATTTTAACCCTAAAAATTTGGACATTCATCTTGGGGTGTATGAAGACATTTATAAAAATGAAAATATTTTAATCAATTTGACAATTATATTATCAAAATAATTTTTATATAAATGTAAAATAAGAGAGACAAAACCCAAATGTAACGAATATATCATATTTTTGAAACATAGTAAAGAAATCGAAAGTGAAATAAACGAAGGGAAAAGAAAATAAAATTGCTCAAATGTTAGTTTGTAGTATTAGAAATTTCTATGAATATTACGAATATTTGTATGTAGGGCCTACCTTTATAACATCTAATATATTACTATTTTTGTATGTAAAAAAAAATAAATAAATAAATTTCCTTTCTATCCGGTTTTGCTTGGGTTGTTTCTGTCCAAGTTAACTTGAAAATCATACATCCATAATGCGCCAAAATTAGAACTTGATCAAGATCTCATCAATATACATGTAAACCAAGTTTCATTAAGATCAGATAAAAATTGAAGCCCCTATCGTGTTTACAAGCCAAATTTGAGTTTTTACTATGTCAAGGGCAGTAACTAAAAAAACGTTCACGAACTTGACCAAGACCCCCCCTCGCAGCCCGAAAAATTTGCTAGGTTTTAACTAGGTTAGAGATTCAGGCAATCTGAGATATCTGTTTGATTTTAAATAAAAATATTTGGCAGTACAGTAATACTCACCTATATGAAAATCCGCCTTTTATTGTTTACAAGCTAAAAATTGAAACTGTTTTCAAAAACAAGGGCAATAACAAATACTAAATATTTTTCGATTCTTCTGATTTTCAATAAGCTTCATCCTTGGGTGATTACAAACACTCACACCAACCTTTGTCAAAAGAATTGTGCCTTCTGGAGTGTTTACAAGCAAAAAATTGAATGTGTTTCAAGAACAAAAATAATAATTTGTACTAAATATTTTTCTATTTTTTTGATTTTCAATATGGTTCATTCTTGGGTTATAAATTATAATCATACCAAGTTCCGTCAAAATCTGTCAAGCATTGTGCTTTCGAGGGTGTTTAAAGGTAAAAATTGAAAATTATAATATTGGGACTTTTTTTAAAAGGAAAATAGTGTTTGCATTTCATTATCAGATGTCAAAACACTTATCACAGTTTTTCTAAAAGATCTTTGATTTCTTCTCCACTCTGCCATTCAAAGACTTGAGCTTTTAGAGAATGAACAAATTCATCCTTGGTCTTACTCTTCTTGGCCTTGTTTAGCTTTTTCCATAAAGAGAATCCCTTCCTGGCACAGAGATAATCCTGAGCTCCCAGAGTCAGACCTGGACAGAGATCATTTGATCCATCACCAACATATACAACCTGTGAATATTCAACACCATTACTTTTTCTGTCTTTGATAAAATCTTGGAGAATTCGTCCCTTGCATAAATTAATGGTACTTAAAGAACAGTAATCCTGTTTATGATAAAATTTTATTTTTAAACACCCTTTATCATCAAATGAGGCAGGGTTGGTAAAAACTTTAGAAAATACTGAAGAAAGTTTAAAATTTTCTAAAATACACTCAATAAAATGGGAATTTGAATCTGAAATTATGATTGAATCGTATTTATCTCCCTTGGCTAAATCTAACAATTTTTCCATTCCCTCTGTTAACTTGATTTCTGCCATATTTTGCTTGATATTTTCCTCTTGGACACCATTTTCATGGAGATACTCAAATATAGTTCCCATATATTCTGTCCAACCATCGTCATCATATTGATCTTTAATAGCTTGAGGTAATTTCCCATTGGGTGCTAAGTTAATAATGTGAATATCACTATTGTCATCTATGATGGTATGATCAAAATCAAACGCTAATAGAATTTTTTCACTCATCTTTCTCTAGTTTCTTTATCCTGAAATCGAAAGTAAATTGTAAAGTAAAGTAAATCGCGCATTCACAAAATTTCAAACTGGGTTGGCCCCATTTTTAGACAGTCAAAAAATGTTTTTAGTTCAATATTTATTTCAGTTTGCCAGATAACTTTTCCTTTGGATGTTCAACCAGCAGGATTTCTAAATGTATATCAAATCTCTTCTTGTTGGTATAGTTATATGAATATTGTTATATTGCAGAATGTAGACTACATGATATGGTATATGATAATCATAGTGTGCCTTATCACTTTACTATAATACAATGGAATACATTATCAAACTTGTTGTAGGGCAAAGGTATAAAGGTATAGACATCTATTTCTATTTCTATAGGCCTACTGGCCTTTATAACATTACTTTTAGATATCTATATTAACCGGGTCGATTTCAAAGAAAAACAAGTTCCTTTTTTCCAGGCAGTTTAACTTTAGTTCTGTTGTAAGTGCTTTGGGTCTACTTCTGTCATTGAGTGTCTTGATCTTTCTCTTCATTTGGCATGTATTCTATGACAGGTCTAACAAAATGAAATGAAATGAGTGGAATTTTATGTCCTACTTTTCGGTACCATGTCGGCTAATTTAGACGGCAACGCCATCCAGGGTGCAATGAGGGAAATTTGCCAGGACAGCGGCATTAGCCTTCTCTTTTTCAATTTCCAGCTGTTGAGGGATCTTTAACGTGCAGTCTGTAGCACACAGGGCTTATTGTCCCATCCAGATATAGAATATCTGAATAAACATCTAAGACATAAAAAAAAAATGTTTTGTAATATGACGAAATACGGTGTTGAATCATTATTTGTACGAATATATCTTACGCCACTGTATCGACAGACTGTCCTGTGCTGTTTACAGCGTTTTGACAATACATTTTAAATAATTCATCAGCCATATGGGACAATACAAGTTGACTATATGAAGGATCAAAGCAAGTCTTTCCTTTTTTCTCAATGTAAAGATTTTAAACCTTGTTATAGGAAACAGTTACGTACTTTACCTGTTTGTAACCTAAAACTAACTAGTTGCAATGTTGACAGCCATCTTGTTTTTAATATCAGACCACAAGTAAATTTCCCACACATACATAGTAACAGACCACAACAGAAAATTATTGTTTGAGAAGATAAAATCCATAAATGTGTAAACAAGCAAGTGCTTGGGTACGAGACCTCAATAAAAGAATTTATTTCTACATTATCTATATAATACTATTGTTAATTCATAAACTGGAATACAGTGTAACCTTTTTTTGTGCATATAAGGATTCAACACCGAATTTTGTCAAAATTAAAAAATCGCAATTTTTTTTTTATGTCTTTTGAAAGTTTCCTCAGATATTCTATAAAATAATTAAAATTGGTTTGTTTCGATTTTCTTTATGAATCACCCATTTTGGTCCATATAAGTAAAACGTAAGAGTGATTTATTGCTAAAAGTTTGAAACTAGGCTAAATAAGAATATGGCCCACAATGTGTTCTATAGAATTTTTCTGCTGACATGTATCCGTTAGTTTGTCACGTGACGTCGTTCGCTGGAATAAGTTCTAACAGACGACACATGGAATTCCGATTACAGCTAGGAATTTTAAGGAAATTCGGCTGATAAAAAATCATGACGTTTGGTAATAACTTAAACCCGCCATTTTGTATATAATTTTGTCAAAGCAGTATACATCAATAAATTTTGCCTTGTTTGAAACTACTGGATTCATTCTACTAGCTGACATTGTACATATAATCCATGTTTATCAAAACAAGCAAATGCGGAGGTCTCGCGAGGTCGCACATGTCTATCACTAATCATTTTCGGAGATGCACGAAAAATAGATTAGCACGAAATTATATGTTTTACTTGACTGTATGTCTTGTGACCCCTTGGCGATTTAAATTCGATAATTTAGAATCGTTTTATTTTGATGAAGGGTATTTATACATTTAGATTGTTCGGTCATAACTACGGATCCTTCCACATTAAGACTGTTCAGTGCAGGCACACGGGCAGTCTTGGTCGGCGATTGTTGAATAAAATCTCAAGTGTGTCATGTCATAAAGTCAAGTAACCTAATTTCGTGCTAACCTATTTTTCGTGCATTTCCGGAAATGATTAATAATTTTGGATTTTTCAAGGTATACATTAATACGTTTTACCTTGCTTGAAATTACTGAATTCGTTCTACTAGCTGATATTGTAGAGAGAACCCATGTTTATTAAAACAAACTAATGCGGAAGTCGCGCAAGGTCGCTCATGTAAATTATTAATCCTTTCTGGAAATCCACGAATAATAGGTTTCTACGAAATTAGGTTACTTGACTGTACTTTGACAAATAAAAAATGGCGGATTTCAGTTATTACCAAACGTCACCATTTTTTATCGGCCGAATTTCCTTATAATCCCAAGCGGTAATCGGAATTCCATGTGTCGTCTGCTAGAATGTAGTCCAACGAATGAAGTCACGTGATCAACAAGTGGATTCTGTGTCAGCGAAATATTTATCGACTTATTTATGGATCAAACATTGTACACGAAAATAGGTGACGCATTCATCCGTCTTTGCCGAGTTGGTTTCTCATGAAATATGGGTCAAAGTGAAGGATTCATAGAGAAAATCGAAACAAACCAATTTTAATTATTTTGTAGAATATCTGAGGAAACATTTAAGACATTAAAAAAAAATTCGTTTTTTTTAACTTTGACGAAATTCGGTGTTGAATCCTTATATGCACGAAAATAGGTTACACCACTATATTTATTTGTCTTAGATTATTTTATCGTCTGGATGACAGAGCGTCATATCAGATTTATTCACCTTTCAATTGCGTGATTATCGACAAATTGGAAACAACTGAGTGCAGATTTTTGTTCTAGTGTGCCCGCAGCCGGTCGAAAAAAATCTCTGCTTGTTTGCCTGCTCCAGCACAATTCAGTCTTGGGGTCTTTTCACATTTAGACTGTTCAATCTGGACGTCGGGTCCTTCCACATGTAGACTTTTCAATCTGGACTATAGGTTCTTCCTCATTTAGACTTTATAATCTGGACAAAAGGTCCTTCCACATTTAGACTTTTCAATCTGGACTAAGGGTTCTTCCACATTTAGACTTTTCAATCTAGACTAAGGGTCCTTCCATGTGTAGACTGTTCAATCTAGACTTCAGGGCCCTTCTCATTTAGACTTTTCAATCTGGACTAAGGGTCCTTCCACATTTAGACAGTTCAATCTAGACTAAGGGTCCTTTCATATTTAGACTTTTCAATCTGGACCAAAGGTTCTTTCACATTTACACTTTTCAATCTAGACTAAGGGTTTGTTCACATTTAGACATGTCTTGACATACAACGTAATGCTTGTTTAATTCACTAGATTTCAATGCTGACCCGTTATGCTTTTTTTCTTATGCTCCAGATGGATGAAATAATTTGCTTCACTGTGTACAGTATAACAGCAGTAGCAGGGATGGGCAATAGCAGTATAAAATTGCCCATCCCACCTTGTTTAGAAATGAAACAAAATGCCGATATTGATATTGAGCGTGTAATGTATATATTTATTCCATTGTACAACCATTACAATATTTACAACAAACATATGAAATTCTTCTTACCCTAACAACATTTTCAGTTAATGGAAGGCAGGGTAAAAACAACACAATTAAAAACTTTTAATATTTCAGAGATGAATATTTGGAAAGACAATGAATATAGCACTTTAAAAACTAGAATACCCTACATCAAGTCAAAAACTGTAAAATTTTCAACTGTTTTAACAACGAGCATTATTTACCACTGGAGACCAACTGGGTCCTCAGAAAAAATCTTATGATAAATTTTGTCAAAAGTATGGTATTTCTCTATGTAAAATACTTACTTATTATAAGGCTATTGCTTTATTTTCAATAGATGTCTCTTGAGTCACTGTAAGACAGCTTCAATGACAAAATGTATGAGTTTCGAAAACAGGATAGTTTTTCGAAAACCATGTAATCTAAATATAAATCCTGTAATATATAGTACTGATATATCCAATTCCTTAGCTTCAGCTCCTGGATACCCCTTATCACCTTAAAAACATTGTCAAATAAAATTGGCAATTCTTTGTTTAGTATTTAGAACACTTTTTGACATGTAGATCTTGGTATTATTTCAAGTTTTAATATAAACTTTCTGCGTTTGCGTTCCTTGGTTTTTTGATTTTGTCCAAATTCTTGAAGATTATGTCATGTAAACTAGCCTGTAATAAAGAAAAGGATAAATTAGAATTATCATATATTTCTACCATTAGTACATTAATATAAGGTAGAATGTATCTTTTCCTTCAAAAACACAAGTCACCGTACTAATGTTCTTTTTTTTAAACTAATGACTTACCGGGGCTATACAAAATTTTTTTTGTAAAAATACGCTCGCAATACCAAGGTCAGAGAGAGCAAATATGATTTTTGAAACAGACAAAAAGGTCATTTTTAAATTTCCTTTACAGTAATAAATTTATCTTAAATTTTAAGCTAATTTAACTAAGTTTAATGAAAATATACATTTATTTTCAAATAAAATGATTTTCTTTGTGTATTTGTTTTAATTTTATTCATGTTATGATCAATAGCAAATTGAAATTTCCTGTAAACAAAGAACAATATGGTGTTAAGTCAACTCATCTACCGACAGAAAAGGAAAAATTTGTCTGTAATCAACAATTCAGAAGCTACTCATCTATCCAATGAAATGAAAACATGAAATACACACATATAATGCACCCCCTTACCGCACCCTCTATTTCTGGAGAGCTGCCACTCTAATTATTGCGGTCTAACGGAGCTCATCCAAAGGAAAACAATCAAGAGGTTGACATAACAGACCATAATATTGAGTGGTAATATTATCTTACCTGTAAACTTTATAAGCTTATAATATTTCTTCATTATAGTCCCCTATTATTATCAATGTCATTTTTGAATCAATATTTTTGGTATAATATTTAATTTTGTTATATTTATTCCCGTGACAGTGAGTGTAAATTGACAAGGTGGCACGCATATGAATCTTGATTTAGAGAAGACAAAACTGTCATACTTTTTCTTTTGGGAAGCTTTTAGATATTTTTTCGTTTTATTAAATGTAGTTTTAACGTTGTCAAATTGAAATACGATCATTTCCCTCTTGCAATATTTTGATGCGAATACAGATATGGTGAAGTTGAGTGAAATTGTTTTTTTCAATATCAATATCGTAGAGTCTATTATCAAAAGACTCAAGTTTACACTTGGAACAGGTGGTAATGATACCTTCAAACTTATTTCTTCTTTTTCCAGACGAAATGGACCATGTCACAAAGACTTCAAAAGTGCAGACAGTAGGCAATAGTTTCAGAATAATTGTTGTTATGTAAATAGATATCGTGGGTGACCGCTTGAAACCTCGTATAACGAAATATGATGCGAAATTACTTTACGAGAAAAACGCAAAAAACTATTTGAACTCGTATTTTGTTAAAATCTTTTCTACTATTTCTCTATCCGCTATACGTGGTTTTCATTCCTTTGAAATTTAAATCTCGTATAACACTTTGAATTCTTCGACCTATTCAACCAAAAACTCGTTTTGTATTACACAAGGTTTTTCGTATTTATCCCAGAAAACGGAAAACTGAACCTCGTATAATAATATATTTTACGAGGTTTTAAATCTGACTGTGATGTGTTATTTAATTAGTGGTTTTTGGGTTATTTACAATCAAGCTAAGAATAAGAGGTTTTGATCATAAGATCCGCGCTTTTAAGAGCTTTCGAATGGTACCAAAATGACCAAATATGGCATATACGAGGTTTCAAGCAGTCACCCACAATATGTTAAATAACCCCTTCGTTACGGTCTCTCCTAAATCAATGTATTTGTATACGATGCCTTATATTCGATCATATGACTTTAATGTGAGATTGCGTAATCGAGAAATATCATCATTGCCAAAAAAATGGTCCTGCGCTTGTCATGTGTGGTGTTGTTGAAGCCTGTGACTTACAGACATTTGAATATAAATATTTATTCTAAAGACATAAACTATCAACAGGACAACTTACATAGTGATTTCTGATTTCACAGGTGGTTAATTGCAGACAAACATGTTCCTTTTCATCTAGCTCTATAACAGCTTGTCGGTAGTCTTCCTATATAACAGATAGAACAGTAACACATATAAGGGTTTAGCTTGACAATATGCTTGAAAAAACAAAACAGTATATCGCGACGACCTTTATTAAGCAATCACCTTCAATATGCGACTATAATAAAAATTCCCCCTACAAGTTTTCAATATAATTAACGACTGATAAGCGACCACCTTCATTACGCGACCAGTGATTGTGCATTTACACTCCCGTGCAATCATATTGAGTCAATTAAGCGACCATGACAATTATTAACTCCCTTGATTAAACATCACGTTGTTTAACACATCGGTAGGCAACGTGAGAGACTGTTCGAAGACTTTTTTCTCATAATCCAACATCCTATACAAATAAAAGAACTAGAGCCACACGTGGCACAGAGTGGGACTTTGCAAATGTAGCAAATTGCAAAAGACCCGGAAAAAATCAACCTTCCACAATAATTAGATCATGTGCAAGAACAGTCTAAAGTTGAGAAATTTTCATTTTTTAGAAGATTTTTATACCGGAAGTAGACGTCAGACCTCACAAATGAAAGTATCAGCAGATAGCCAAGGTCAATGACCTTTGATCTTGTAAAGGAGAAGGTCTAAAAAGGTCAAGATCAAGAGATATACGTCATCAAAATTTCTAATTGCACAAGACTATAAAACCGGAAGTTGACATAGGACAGCAAATATAAAAGTATAAATAGAACAAACGCATCCTATGCGAGTTATGGCCCTGTCTCTAAATGTAAACAATTAGTAATTCAACCCGGATGTGCCACGCCCACATAAGTTTTTTTGTCATAGGTGAATTCATTTTCAAAGTGTCTAGTTATATTCCAAATATCAAGGTTCTACATCAAATAGATCATTAGATATACATACACCAAGCTCAAAAAGTCGCAAATATTGTAAAAAAAAAAACTCAAATTTTAAAAAAGCACGAAGTTCAATTTTGCTTTAAAAAAACGATTGTTATATATCTATGTAAAGTACACGAGAAGCACATTAGGAAACCGAAAAAATTTACTCTCTAGGTTAATTAAGTCACGTGCTAGAGCAGTCCAAAGTTGCGAATTTGGCTTTTTACGGATAGCCATAAAACCGGAAGTACATGTCGGAGGTCAAAGGTCAAAGTATCAAATGATAGCCAAGGTCAATTACCTTTGACCCTATGAAGGTCAAGGTCATCAAAGGTCAAGGTCACAAGAAATAAGCTTTCAAATTCAACCGGAAGTTGCAAAAATTCAAAAGCGAAATTCAAAAATCGGCTCCCAATGTTTTGTAGACTTTCGACAGCAGATTACATCGACACCAAAATTACGCAGATTTAGTTTATTCCTAAGGACTTATTTCGAATTAAAAAAAAGTTGGAAATAAAAATGGCGGCCAAAGTATCACTTCCGGTCGGAATTTTATTTTAAAATCGGCCATAGATTTTAATTTTATATCGATCAACGAAATTCCGTTCATTTTGATAAATTTCACCGGAAGTTATTCGACAAATTCGATTTTGGACTTCAAGTGACTCAAACTTCGAAACCGGAAATGACGTAAAAAATCTGACTGTATCATATCATTTACTTAAGTGAGGTCTATTTGCATTTTAAATTTCAGATCAATTTTTGCGACAAAGTTTCGAATTTCGAAATTTTTTAAGTGCTATCTAGTCGACATTAGCCACCGGGTGTTAAAATTGAAAACCCCGGGAAAATCGACGGATAAATGCGCCTTCTAGAGCCAATTTTCGAGTTTTGCACATGTTAAACTGTAGCACTTCCGGTTGCGCAAAAATGTTTCAATTTATATTTATGCACAACGTTGCCATTATCTAAGGTTCAGCAAAGTTGAATGATTGCTGCAACTACTGCAGTCTAAGCTCAGGAAGGTGTGTAAAAATCGAAAAAAAAAAAAAAAAAGAATTGACATTTCGATAACAAACTAGGACTTTGCGGAAGCAAAGTCCCACAATTAGGTTTTGTACAAAGGATGGTGATTTTTGTTTTGTCTATTTATGAAATTGAAAGTTTCAAACTTCTGCCATGGTGGGTCTCAAAACTGAAGCCAAGGCATACTCATCAAGCATATGGAGCCTATTCAGTAAGGAGTAATATTATCTTATCAATAACCTGTCTAGGTGACCCTCAGTTATCAATACTGCAACTTATCAAACATATGGCAGCTTATCATGAAAAGGTGTTCATATAAAATATTAATATTCTCTTACCACATGCGGATATTTGGCTACTTTAGAAACTATTTTAGCTCTGGTTAAATAGTACCGAGAAATCTGGTCCAAGTATGTGGCAGCATCACTTTCAACTTGTCTGGCTTCTGCCATTGTGTCTTCCTGAATTGATACACCAAAATTGTTACCATCCTCTATTTTAGGAATTAAAAAACTGATCCACATTTTTACCTGCAAAAATTTCAACTGGCTCATTAAAGGTAGGAAATATAGATAGCACAGAAAGTATAGTATGGGATTGGGACATTCTGTCGTACAAAAATTGAATTGAGTTTGCATATAAAAAAATCTGAAAGAAAAAATCCTTATAAATGCCATAGACCAAGAAAGATAGCTTGCAAGGCAAGGTAACATACGCCCACTGGCAGCTCTGATTTTGAATAAGATAGCTTGCCAGGCAAGGTAATATACGCCCACTGGCAGCTTTGATTTTAAATAAAGATAGCTTGCCAGGCAAGGTAATAAACTACCACTGGCAGCTTTGATTTTAAATAAAGATAGCTTACCAGGCAAGGTAATATACGCCCACTGGCAGCTTTGATTTTAAATAAAGATAGCTTGCCAGGCAAGGTAATATACGCCCACTGGCAGCTTTGATTATGAACAAAAATATTTAGCAGTACAGTAACAATCACCAGTATGAAATATTCAACCTTCAGTCATACACTTCTTTTGAATTCTTTAGGGCGATACTGAATAATATATTGAGTATGAGTTACTGCCCTTGTTTTTGGAAACATGTTCAATTTTTAGCTTGTGAAAACTCTAGAAGGCAAATATTCAATCTTCAGCATGGTACTGAATCAATAACTAATAAGGTCAATAACTCCTGCGAAACATATTTAGATTGTTTTGATTTTCAATAGAACAAGAGCAATAACTCATACTAAATATTTTTCGATTCTTCTGATTTACAATAGGCTTTATCCTTGGGTGATTACGAACACTCACACCAATTTTCGTCAAAATCCATCATGAATTGTCCCTTCTAGAATGTTTATAAGCTAAAAATTGAACGCGTTTCATTAACAAGGGCAATAACTCATACTAAATATTTTTCTATTCTTCTGATTTCAATAGGGTTTAACGTTGGGTGATAGCAAACACTCATGCCAAGTTTCGTCAAAATCTGTCAAGAATTGTGCCTTCTAGAGTGTTTACAAGCTAAAAAATTGAACGTGTTTTCAAGAACAAGGGCAATAACTTATACTAAATATTTTTCGATTCTTCTGATTTTCAATAGGGTTCATCCTTGGGTGATTACGAACACTCATACTAATTTTCGTTAAAATCCATCAAGAATTGTCCTTTCTAGAGTGTTTACGAGCTAAAAATTGAGCGCATTTTCAAGAACAAGGGCAATAACTTGTACTAAATATTTTTCGATTCTTCTGATTTTCATTAGGGTTCATCCTTGAGTGATTACGAACACTCAAATTGTGGACAGACCGACGGACGGACATGGGTGACGGCAAAATACGTCCCTATTTTCATCAAAATTTTGCAGGTGAAACCAATTTCTTTTGAAACAACCCATCATTGCCTGCAAACATGCAGCACAGTATAATATAACTCACCATATTAGCATGTTCTATCAGATCATTGATTAAGGGCTTGAGTTTTTCACAAGATTTAAATATATTAGAATTAACTGGTACTGAACCATTTGGTAACACTAAAACTTTGGAACCAGTAAGACCCTCGATATCACCAGTGGTAAAATCTATCTTTCTTTTCTTGGAATTTGTCTGCAAAAACAAAAATATGAAATAACTTAGATTTCCTTTTAATAATGGTAAAAACTCATTGTTCAAGCTTGTCTAATCAAGCTATCTTGGTGGGATTCAAGTTATCTGATACCAGATGTACATCCTAAAGTAGTCAATGTTAGGATATGGACCCATCACTATAATCTCACATCATGTTGACATATAAGCTTATTCAACAAATATAGACATAGCTATATGACACAATAATCATCGATTGAGGACTAAAGGTGAAACAGAGAATAGAAACGTGATTGTTGATCCATAAAGCTGTGTCAATATATATATTGCATTGTACAATGCTTAATGCCATTTAACTGATTCATTCCAGTAAGTCTTTAATATAAAGTTCAAGGAATTGCTTTACCTCATGGTTTTGTTTGTCATTGTGGAAAGCTACAGGATCTGGAACAGGAATATTCAGATCTGTTTTTATACCAGACATCTTTGTCTTCTTCATATCCTGCAGTTCACAAAAAATATCATGTCAAATTATAAATCTCATAAAAAAAAATCACATCTTTATTTTGCTTATACTCTACATGGAGGTCACATAATTATCATTAAGGAGGCTCAGTCAAAACCAGACCAGTATCAGTGCCAGCCATGTAAATGCCACCAAGTCTGATAAACTTAGGGTTGCTCTCCTATATTTATATTTAACTAGAGAAGATAGTGCTTTGTATTATTCTGAAGGTGCTAATTCTTTTCAGCAGTTAAACAGGAAACTGACACAGATTTAAATCTCAACTGTCACTGAGACAATAAGCCTACCTGATTAATAACTTCCAGCTGAATAATCTTACGAGGAAAAACATCAGTGACTAGAGTTTCTGCCTGAAGTGAAATCATAGATAGATACCATTTATTTCAAACATTGAGTTATAAATGTTAATTGCAAGTTGGCAAAAAAATAGTTGTCATTTTCTCACAATGCAAAAATAGTTTGAATCATTAAAAGTGTCAATAGAAACTAGGCCTAGTGGAGTGCTTAAAATTGTCATTTGAAAACAGTTTATTTATTTTAGGTCTATGTCAGATCCATCTACTAAGTTTGTAAGCTTGCCAGCACATCTTCTTAAAATATGATTGAATAACTACCTCTTTTTTAAATTTGGTTATGAACTCCTCAACCTGCAGAGAGAAAATAAAAGGTTTATAAAAATAAAATCCCCTAGGGATTTGGTTGGTGAATAGGACGGCAATGGCAAGAATTTTAAATGCGACGAAATTTTTCTGTTCTACTAAATCTTTGAACCCCAACAATAAAATATGGCATAAGAACAGTATCCTCACCTGTTTATTAGCGTCTTTCTTCGACATATTATCACCTTTTTAAAAACCCACCGGTTAAAAGCAGAGAATTATGAGTAATTTTTATGTAAAATCTGCGTGTTTCCGCCAAACCTAACCCTGCATGTGTTTTTGTTGTTTAAAGAACGGTGTATGGGAGGTAACTCGTCTGACTTGTGTAGTAACGGTTGCTCCAGACGGTTAGTAACCTTCACGATTTCACTAAACAAATTCTATCCACGTCAAAATTCATAACGTATGGATCCACACAAATTATAAATGATAAAGATTTACTGAATAACCAGAAAAATTGTTCCCTAAAAATTTAAAAACCTTGATAGAAAGGGTTCATGAAAGAAAATAAAATATAGATAATATAATACATATAATAAAAAAAATTATTTTGTAATGTTACGGGCTTTTTTCTTTTTTTTTAATGGAGTTACCTCCCATACACCATTAATTTTGGAGTTATTCAGAGTCAGTGGACTAATTCAGTATAGCCGAGCTTTGCTTCTAAAGGTAATAATTTCTGTTCAAGTGCTACTATTTGGTGCAAACCATGTCTACATGTAGTAGCATGTATGCAACATGTTTTAACATGTCAAAAGAGCTAAAAAACATTTTTAGAAATTTCCCGTTTATTGCAAGTAACATGTAAAGTAATGCGCTGCACCATTATGTCAAGTCAAGTGAAGACTTTCCTGAAATTTGCCTGCAGTTTCGTTATAAAATGGAGTAAATAAATTCCCCAGCGCTCGTATAGCATGAAGACCATTCGTTCGTTTTGGGGTACACGTAGCGAATTTGATCGTGCGCATATTTTCGTTTGCTTGAAAGGTATCGGTCGCCCTATAGATCACCCAGGTGGAAATTGAAGTTTTTAATTCAGAATTAATTTTCTCCTAGGTCGTATGGACACCCGCTGGATAACTGGAAAATTCAGTAACATGCAAGAAGGGGCCTTTCTTTCTATAATATTTCTGAGAGCTATAAAGATACGGTGTCACCAGCGAAACTGAAACGTTCTCATGCCGCTATACTCTGTAATCGAATTCGCACCTTCAGTCCGACCCCCTTTGAATAAATCCTGCGAACGCCACTGGTCCCACCGCATTGAAAAAGCGATCTGCGCCCCTGCCTCTATTCCAACCTCTATCCCAACCTAGATGGATATTTTGACAGTTGTCGGCTGGAGTCAGAAGAAAAAGGCTCTGTTAAATGCGAATTTTCCACACCTCCAGAGACATTAAATTACCTTTACAATGACTCTTTAATCAAGTTTTGGGCATTAGCGTAACTCTGTGACCTTTGACCTTTTGTGACATAGATGGTGTAGGGAGAAACTGATGGTATGACTGAACTACTAAAGACTTCTTAATATACGAGCAACGGGAAATATATATATAAAAGAAGTCGTTGTATTTGGTTCAAATTCATCGCCTCATAAGCACGATGCAATTTGTTTAAAGTGAACCACCCATTAATCATTTTAATGACGATGAGTGAGTAGACTATTGTCAAGTCGACGTCTGTGAACAAATAACTAGAGACCAGAAAATTGCAACAAGTTTCGGACTATCACTTACCTACTTCATTTTTTTCCCAATCATTTGCTGTGCCTGTGGATTAAATAAAAATAAAAGGCAATAAAAACTAAAAGAAGATATATACTAGGTTTGTTGACCGATCCAATGGAGGAAAAACTCTGTTTCACCAAAGGCAACAGCAAAATGACCTTGCCTACGGGAGACAACTCTAACCTTTACTGGCCTTTTAAATGAAAGGTTGTATGCTAACTAAGATATAAAATATAGATTTGACCAGCTTTAAAGTTTAATGCTAGGAATCACTTGGTGCAAAATTATTTATCTACAGTTTAGCCCCTTTAATTGACGTGGCATTTTACAAGACAATTCTGTCTTCATTAGCCACAATTCACGACATTTGCCTTACAATGTCTGCTGGCTTATGAAGGACACCTGCTGGAAGATATGGCATTTATTTAGAGTTAAACTATCAAACAGGAAGGAGATATGAAGGAATAGTTAAAATCGCAGTCGAATGTCACTGGCTAGGATGGTATTAAAAGCCACCCTCTCTTTAAATCCAAGTGTATAGTTCGAATTTTTCCTGTAATTTTTCTTTGTTGCCGGGTTTTTTCGGTGTTATTATACTATTTATTACATACCGCGCCCAATCTGCTAAGCCATCTTGTTAAGTTTGTCACGATGAAAATATTGTGTAAACACAATGACCGGTACTTTTAACGGGCACCAAGATCCCACCATTGACAATGTTTAATAATATAATAACCCGTGTTTTGTCGTCTGAAGTTTTATATTGGCGTTTTAGTTTTTAAACCACCTTCCAGTATGACGTAAATAATACATCATCAATACAGAATATCGGTGATATGGTCAGCGTTGTCGACAGTCAGCAGCTTTGGCTCTCTCCAATGACTTCTACTAGTTTAAGAACGTCAATGACTCTCGCCTAGCTGCCATCATGTGACGTTAGAATCGGTGGTGTGAGCTCTCTCCAATGACGCCTGCCAGTGTATGAACGTCATTGGCTCTCGCCTGCCATCATGGCGTTACAGTCAGCTGTATTGGAAAGTGACATTACTTTACCACCCATTTCCTCGACACCTCTCACCACCTCTCAACCCACGTTCTCTCCTGGGTCCACCCTGTTAATTGAGCTATACTCTAAAATCTAGATGCTGACTAGGAATCTATTATTTTATCAATAACAAGTTATCAGAGAAAAGAGAAAGAAATACAACTTGTTTGCCCGGTGAAAAGTTCAGTGTTCTATAAATAGATGGAATTAATTACAGGAACCGCGATGGAAAATAACATGTCCAAGGTCAACTGGTTTCTGTCGGAATATTGTCACGATCATACCATTATTAGAAAGCTCATCTCCAAACAGACACAATCTTTAAATACACAGATAAAAACGAATGAGCTATATGTATATGACAATATCTTCGTCAACGTCAAGGCGTTTTGAAAACTTCAATAGTTTGAAGAAAAAATACTTATATAAGAAAACTATTATTCAAATCATAAGAATAAAACCGATAGGCCTATATGCCTATCAAAACTATTATTCAAATCACAGGGCGAACACTGACATATACCTATCAAAACTATTATTCAAAACAAAAGGAGCATGCCGATATATGCCTTTCAAACCAGTATTCAAATCACATAAACCTTTTAAACTATTATTCAAAGCAGAAGGAGAATACAGACTTATATCTATCAAAACTATTATTCAAAGCACGCGAAGAAAACTGACATACAACGATACTGTCCTCAGAGAAACATCGGAAGGGTAGCCCTGAGGAATGTTCATGTAAAAGTTTCAGAACAGAAGCTATTAGCCTACTCAATACCAATTCTGTTTTTATGGATGTTGGCTTTTGGCTTATGGCGCAATGTATAAAATGGCTATTTGAAGGATTTTAGTATTTTGTACTTGACTTATATATTATGTTGCTTTTTATATAAGATTCAGAACACATTCCAGTAGAATATGCTTATATAAGACGTTGGTTGTTCGGTCAGTTTGATATTTGATCTTGGACGAAAACCTGGAAAACAAATTAACCTAAATCTATATGTAGTATAGAAAGTGATTATATTTGGCCTTGATAATTATATTGGCTTGCGTGCATGGCATTAATACCTGTTTACTTCAAACATGCGGTCAGCAATGTGACCTCTGAACCCAGTTCTATTGATTGGGGTTCATGACTGGGTCAAGCTACGGCTTGATTATCAAGTCTTATAAATGTAAATGAATATGGCTATTGATTGTTTACGACTGGTTAACGGCGTTTTCCGGTCAGTGATGCATCTATTTTTCTGGAGTATTAATGATCAAGTTGTTTACTGACTCGATTCCGAAGTAGATGTTATTATGAAGCCGGTTAGTGAGTTGACCTGACCTCAACATTATCCACTGCTAAAGGTTTACGAGGACACAAAACAAACAACTTATGCCTCATTTCTTCCTTCCCGCCAGTGGCAGTGGCTCACCATGCGGGGAGTAAAATTTCGCCAAGCAGGAAGGTACTCAAAAGGAAAAAATAGAAAAACCTTTTATGCGCTTTCAGATATGTATGATTTATTAAAGTAAGTAGTCCATTGAGTCTATGCATCCTCAGATACTGGAGGACCATGGAAAGGTCCAAATACTTGTTTTGTTGTTGTTTTGACCAATGACGTGGTCAAGAGTTCCGCCCTATTCGTCCTTGGTTGTGTAGTGGTAATTATACTAATTGTATCTAAGCTATGCTATATAATTAGATATACACTCTCAAAACATTCATCTCTTTCACAATACTATTTATTACATACCGCGCCCAATCTGCTAAGCGATGTTTGTCACGATGATGTAAACACAATAACTAGTTCTTTTAACCGGCACCAAGATCTCACCAATGACGTCAATACAACAAAAAGGTCAATACATAATATGGATAATGAAATTAATTCGAAGAAAATTGAAATATCAGTACAGCCTGTGATGTCGATAGCAAGTGTTGGCTCCCAAAGACGTCAGTTTAATAATATAATACTCAGTTTGAGTTCTAACCCGTGTTTTGTCGTCTGAAGTTTTATATTGGATTTTTAGCCTTTAAACCACCTTCCAGTATGACGTAAATAATATATCATCAATACAGAATATCGGTGATATGGTCTGCGTGTGGGCTCTCATAAATGACGCCTGTCAGTGTTTGAACGTCATTGGCTCTCGCCTGCCATCATGACGTTAAAGTCAGCTGTTTGGGCTCTCTCCAATGACAACTTCATTGGCCCTCACCTTCCATGTAACGTTACAGTCGGCGATGTGAGCTCTCACCAATGTCTGCTGGATTTTTGACTATCATAGCAAATCAAATTAAGATGACGTTTCCACCACCAGTCTACAGTTGACTATGTGAAAGCCAAAATATCACATAGACCCGCACCTATTAATATATATCATGTTAATGAAAATCTATCAAGAATAATGATTTACTATAAAAACAAGCTACTATAATGATTGTTTTGTATCTAATGAAGGTACTATCTTTAGCGGCTCGTGCGTCACAGCTGATAACCTTACCGATGACCTTTATTGATACGACTA